CTTACATGAGAGCTTCTACGGATTTTGGTTTAATAAAAATAGCAATCGGGAAGAGTTGTGCTTGCTGCAATCGTTTGATGGCGTTGCCGGACACGTCCAGGATGCAGTGCTTTCCCTACAACAGAGGAAGTGGTTAGTGGGCGGAGTTCAGCATTATCCAACCAATGACATCATACTGCGCTACACCTACCCTTTCAGCCACCGCACGCACCGACTGGATGCTGGTGCCGTACAGGTTGTCATTAAACTGGCCGGCTTCTATGAACTTGTTGTCCTGGATGTCCTTCTCCATCTGCTCCCGAGAAGCGACAAAGTGGTAGTCCTGACCGTCCATCTCCGACTCCCGCCGGGGCCGGGTAGTGTCTGCCGAGAGAAAAGGACGGGACGTGCAGGATGAGACCCCATCAGTTTACATTGTGCTGGAAGAATTCATAAGAGGAGCATGCGGGATCGGAACGAGCACAAGAATCCGGCATCACACCCACTGAACTACAGCAACACGGGGAATGATCAGCATGAACTACAGGACAGCACCCCTACTTAACTACAGCAACACGGGGAATGATCAGCACCCAGCACAGGACATCACACCGACTGGACTACAGCAACACGGGAAATGATCAGCATGAACTACAGGACAGAACATCATCCCTACTGAACTACAGCAACACGGGAAATGATCAGCATGAACTACAGGGTAGCACCCAGCACAGGACATCACCCCTACTGAACTACAGCAACACGGGAAATGATCAGCATGAACTACAGGACAGCACCTAGCACAGGACATCACCCCTACTGAACTACAGCAACAAGGGAAATGATCAGCACCCAACACAGCACAGGACAGGACGGCACCCAGCACAGCACGGGACAGCACCCAGCAATGCTGTGTACAGACCGGATCAGGCAGCCATGTAGTGAGGAATCAACGCTAGTTCGAATGTTCTCAGCAGAGCCCAAGAAAAGATGTCCTTCCACGAGGCATGCTGGGTAGAGGAGGGTAACCCTGGCTGGTGTACAATTTGTTTTGTTTGCCAATCCTCCAGTAGGTGGCAGCGTCACCAGACAGTTGATGACTTCCTGTGTCCCTCAAAATAAAATGGTTCTGTCCAATCTTCCCCCGGGGGCCAGGAAATGCTTAAGTTGTCTAGAATGAACTCCATGTTTGAGGCTCTCCTGAAAAGTGGCTTTGTGATGCCGAGGTCAGGAGATTGTGGCAGCCAATGAAAGGGAACGTCACTTTTTAGAAATATATATATATATATATCTCATTAGAACCGCGATCAGTAGACTGCAGGTGCAATGCTCTGACTCCTGAGACACAGGCATGCAGTAACATGGACGGGAAGCAGAGGTGACATCACAGCACTTGTATTCCTCTGAAACTACAAGCCCCTCCAGGACATGTAGTTCTTCCATTCTGTGGAAAAACGTGGCGGAGTCACGCAAAATTAAAACAGCAGCCGACAGGGAGAAGAACCCCGCCATTCAGGTAAGTTGGGGGGGGAGATTGCAAGCTTCCCATGTTTCATGTTACACCCTGAATATGGGTGTAACATGAAACATGGTTAGAAAGGTGAACTTGGCCTTTAAGAACCTTCACTTTTTTTGTCCCTGCCGCAGCCACTGAAGGGTCAACCTGAGCTTTACGTTGTGCGGCTCCCAGGTTGACGAATGCAAATTGTCCTTCATTCTTTATCTTGCCATCAATTTTGACTAAACTCGCATACAGCCAGAGCTCCACCGCCATGCTTCACAGTAGGGATGGTGTGCTTCTCATAGGTCTTGTTGACTCGTCTCGGTTTTGGTCTCGTCACCCCAAATGTTGCAGCTTCTCTGGGGGTCGTAGTGCAAGTAGAACACAGCCAACATTTTACAAATCCCGCCCGGGGTGTGTAAACTTATGAGCACGACTGTACTAGATCATAAAACCTGCAGACTTACGTGGAACACAAGAGCCGAACTTGTGGGGAAACTCCGAGATGAGGTCGTCGTTGACCCGATCTTTCAATGGGCCCAGAATGATGACGGGTCTCGCGTAATGGACTGAAAGAAATTAATTCAACACGTGGAATCAGACAAAGCCGTTCAGACTATTGTGGAAACGTTACAACAAAGGCGAGATGAAGACATGTGATCTTCCTCAGGAAGAAAGGACAGTCTGCAGAAGAGTATTGAATGCAGCGACACTGGTCACATGATCAATCTGCATTTATTACATCGCACCAATGATCAGTGTGTGGTGGGTGCAATGCTCAGCCTCTGTATGGAGGAAGTGGTAGCAGACAGGTCATGTCCAGTGAGTGGTCCTGGACCTTGACGGTGTGGGCTATGTGGGTGAAGCACCAGGACAGAAGAAGAATGTACTTACTCTCTTGTCGGATCACCGGCTCATAGGATAGAATAGTGTCTTCCTGTCCCTCTGTAGAAAGAAGGAGGAGCCATGTTTATAATAAGGAACACTCCCAAAAACCAAGGCGGCAGCAAAAAAAAAAAAGGGAAAGGAAAGTTCAAGAGACGACTTACTGGAGCTGCTCTCGCTGTCACTCGTGTTGGATGTCACAGCCTCTGCAATATAATAAGAGATGTGTAAGTATGTGATGTCCGGGCACCCACGGACACACCGCACACGCAGCACGAAGGGTGAGGGGTCATGATACGTCTGAACAGCGACAAGCGCACACACACACACACACACACACACACACACAACAC